CAACTGCTCAAAATTCTGATGCGATCGAAATCCACCTTCGCGATCAGAATCAGCATATACTTCCTTTAAGATTTCTCTCTATTATTTGATTCTTAAAACATCAACATGTGACCCAGTCACATCATGTAATGAGGATCTCAGAATAGAACTTAACAGAGTTAGATAATGGGCTCTACCTGATGTAGAGTCAAACTTGTTGACTTTAACATCCTTAGGTAAATTTGGCAGCTTTGCAATCAACGCCCCTTCCTTTAGCAAAATAAACATATGGACCCTTTGGTAATGGGACTATCTCAGACTTAGCCTTTCTCTTTACCATTTGGTCAACCGGGTTGACTATGGCCAATCCCGTTCCATTGGGAAGAGAATGCTTTTTTCTGGATTTCCAGTGTCACCATTGTCACTGTCCATAAAGTTTTTGGGAAGTTGATCTTCTAATCAAATTTGCTTTACTATCGTTCCAAATCATTGCTGATTCAGCAACACCAAGCAAATAGATATGATCATTAAGGTTCATGTCATAGTCTGTTTCATAGTAGTCCTAAAGGAACTCACTATGTGACTTAGAAAGTGATTGAACATCCAACTTTCTCAAGACTTTGACACCCAACTCTCTCGGCTTGTCAATATGTGACTTCATCTCTAAGATGTGATCACACATAGACCTTGCTTGCCATTAGGGCTTGAGTGACCTTGAACTTGTGGGTTAGGGAGAATAATTGGAGGAGGTGGAGGAAGAGAAGTATGACTTCCATGAGCCAAACTCGGGAAGTCATATTCATTAGGAAAGCTTGGTTTGGGAAGATCATTGTTGTCTAAACCAGACATCAACAATGGGAGAAATTCACGTTAAGTTGATTTAAGTCCTTAATATAACACCCAATATGATATATTAAGGCTAGGACCCAACAAACTATTTTATAACTTGGAAGAGGGATGCCGTAATCCAAGCTATAAAATATTTGAAGGTAGGTGAATGACGATTCACCAATTTCTACCAAGATAAACGAAATGTATTATTAGGTTTTAATTGGTTTTGAAACTCCTAGATTCTTTTGAGATTCATTGAACTTTTCAATGGCATGTTTCAATCTCGAGTGTGCCCTTCAGGTTTTGTGACTGGGATGCCGAGGATCACAAAACAAGGTGCGAAGTAACCATGCAAATATACTTGGTACCCTTAATATTTACCCCTCAATCGATGTGCCGGTTAACCACACACGCTCCAACGATACTATGATAACCATTAAGTTACCCTTTGCCTACCTTGTTAAGTCCAGGTTAGTGTGCCGGTTAACCACACACGCTCCACTAACAGCTTAAACAAAGTGCAAAGTGTAATTTCATGGATTAGCACCTTATTCACATTTTTCTAAGTAAGTAAGATTGGGAATTTATAAGTGTTTAGTTACTTAGTATTTATCATTATACTTATAATGAAGGGAGAATTATAGTCCTCGTCCTACCTGTTCGGCTAACGACCCTCCACCGTCAAGGAAGCGGTGAGTGAGAGTAGACACCCATTAAACTGCCATTTTATAGGCAGTAACCTTATACCCCCCTTATGGACCGGCTTCATGAATGAGGCCTACTAATGGTAAGACGACTTGCTCTTATACATATAATATATTAAACTTTTATTATTATAATAGTATAAGGGTGTATTTTAGACATTTAAAATACTTGGTGGTTTAATCTATTAATTAAACTAGACTTTTAATTTAATTAAACTCAAACCATATATTTATGGATTAATAATACTCTTTTAATTAAACGCTTTAATTAACTATTAATAAAGTCCATAAGAGTTAATTTGAACTATTCAACAAAACATCATAATTCCAATTATTAACTCAAAATTAAAACCATTTAATTAATTGTTTAAGTTATGAACCCAAGAGTTTTAGAATTCAATTCTTTTTGTCATAAATTTTTTTCTCAAATTCCAAAACTTGAGGGCAAGTTTTGTAATTCTTGAAAACCTTTGGATTCCATAACTTATGGAATTAATGGTGTTTTATGATGAAACTTTCCATGTTCCATAACTTAAGAACAAGTTATGGAATTCTTTAAAACATTAACACCAAATTTTGTAACTCCATAAAACTTTGAATCAAAATTTTTTTTTTTTTAAAAAAAAACTTTCATATCCATAACTTATGGAAGTTTCAAAAACCCTTAAGATCACAACTTTAAAAAAAACTTTTGAGCTCCAAAATTTTATGACAAATATGTAACTCCTTAAAACATTTAGATCAAACTTTTAAAACTAATAAAATAATCATATCATTTATCTTTTACTAAATTTGACCTAATTCAACTCATATAACAAATTATTCAAATTTTACAAATAATTCGTTTTTCACAAAACAAGTAATTATCTTAAAATTTGACAAACGTCATGTTTTTTTTCTTTTTTTTTTTTCAACTTGAAAATAAAACATTTGCATCAATATAACAGAAAACAACCCATGGCTCTGATACCACTGTTGGGTTTTGAGCATTCTAACACTCCTATGGTGTACATGCAACCCTATAAACCTTGGATCTATGTTTTCTCTATTATACATGCAAATATTAACTATTCCAAGGTTTCATCCTAACTAGCATATTATGAAGCACCTATACTACAAAGTTCTAGTTAGATGACATACCTTTTGATGTAGCTTGATGTCTTCAAGCTTTAAGAGCTTAGCCCCAATAGTGTGGAGGCCTCAAATGGAATCACAAATCACCAAAACACCTTGGAAGAACTTGAGAGAATATGTATGCACACTAAAATCGGCCCACTCTTATTTTCACACACTTGTGCCAATTTTGTGAGCCAAGGACCCCTTTATATATTATGGAGGATTAGGGTTACATCCATGTAAACCCTAATACCCATGACCTTTCATTTACATAGGATCCATGGGTTAAAAGCTCCATGGACCATCCATGAAAGCTTAGCCCAACCTAAATGAACTTGGCCCATTCCATATATATAAGAGTCCATATTTAATTAGTTCTTTTTGATCACTTAATTCATTCTAAATTAATTCTTGATCAATACTAATTAAATAATATGATTCCATATTTAATATATTAGAACTTATAATATATTAATATAAATCATAAATATACTATTCTCAAAAGACTATCCATATAAATTGTGCCGGTGAAGTGCAACCCAAATGGACCATGCCGGGTCAGGTCAAGTACATACCAAATATAGTTATGGACTTAGACATTAATCCAACACTTATGAGCCACTTCTAGTACTTTCGTCCTTACCTCACCAGTAGTCGGAACCTAAAATTTACCGAACTTAGTCAATAAGAGTCGACCATCTCTGAAAAATAAAGGAATTTTCCCTTGATCCTCTCTGCCTTCCAATTTCCCTTTTTCAATCCTTATACCTGAGCCTTATTGATCATATCCAACATAGGAGAAATAATAACCATCCTCAGACATAACTCCCCAATAGTCCCTTTCACTTATTTTTACCGGTTACAAACGCCACATCACAAAATTAAGCCAGGTCGATTATGACAAGGAGGAAATGATGTTGTTTTGTACATGAAACAACATAAACCAGTAAACAATTGATGTTGACCATACGACGTCGTTTAGAGTATCACCATTAGGGAGCAAGTTTCGGCTCTTTATTACCCGAAGTGGTTATAAAAAGGATGTTGGTGCCCTAAAATGATCACTACCAGTAACTCTGTTTCCCTAAATTCACAAAAAAAATTGTACCCTAACTAATCCATAAATGCCTTCTGTGACGTTTCCCTCGCAACAGCTTGTCTTTCGAAGACCGGCGTCACTTTCAAGCTAATGGCTCTATGGCAGGCGAGCCACATGACATCCAGATAATTCTTCTGCAACTTTAGCTTGAGGTGTCACTCATCAGAGAGGAAGTGAATGCAGACCAGCGGGAGCTCAGGGAAAGTCTATGCTGGAAGATGTGGGCCATGAATCGGGAGGTCGACGATGTAAGGGCAGGTGTGTTGGACATGTCCCATTTGACGGATGACCTCAGGAACCACTTTTATTCCATCCAGCCAATGTATGTCAGGGCATCGACTGAGATTGCTAAGGTGAAGAAGATGCTTGTTGTTTCAAGTGTATTTGGAGTGGTCGATGTTGTGGGACAGGTAGCAGGTTAAAAGTGATTCTGATGAAGGATCGGTGCTTTTCTTTGTTTGGGTTTTCATTTTTGGGTGTTAAATGTTAAGTGTTAGTGTTTTGGTGGAAGTCGGGCTTATAGTTATGGATTTCTGCTTTTGGTATGGTAGATAGTGTTTTGTTTGTTGATGGCAAATATGGAAGCCACTCTTTTGGTTGTCAATGATGTTATGTAAAAAACCCAAATGAATTAAAATGACTATTATGGAATTATCCATATTGTGTCTTTATTTTAGTATATATGTCAATGCCTATTGGAGAATCCAAAGATTTAACTTGTTCTATTTACATATTTGGGACCACATGATTTACAGGAAAAAAGTTTGTTTTGTATGCTCACACGTTGTAAAGGTATAAGGGAAAAAGGTATGTTTTGGACATGAGGCCACACGACTAGCATATGCAATTGACTGAATAAAGTAAGCATATATATAGATAGAAAGTTACCAACTTTGACAACTTTGGTAAGGGAAAACATAAAAAAAACCTGCATAGGCCAAAACTGTGACATGCAGTTATTCTTGATTGGTAAGTGAAGGGGCAATTATGGAAAGTATTTAAACCAACGTATAAAAATAACAATTAAAATGAAATACAAATTACATAAACATTTAAAAACCAATTCAGAGTACATAAACTATTCAACACCAATTTAAAGTACACAAACACCCTTGTGTACAACATATTACATTAAAAGCAAAGAAAATTACATAATTACCCCTCCATAATAAACTACACCCACACTACTCCAAATCCATTGGAGTTGATGCACTGCTACCTTCGCCTTTAATTTTCTTTCCCATCTTCAATGTAAGGATTCTTTCAAAAATTTACCTCAGCCTTGGTTGTTCCACTTTACCAAAATGCACTTCCTGCTCATTAAACCTGTTATTTGGACCATCAGCATCAACCATTTCAACATCTTCCCTATCATCATCACCCATTTCAACATCTTCCCCACCCTCTCCATGTTCACTGACTCTTGTGTTTGTCTCACACTTTCTGGTTTCCTACCATTAGTCTTAGGAGGCCTTTCAACTAGAGGACAAGTGGTCTTGTTGTGTCCTTTCTATTTATATACACCAAAACATACATATTTCCCAGCCTTTGATAATGTTTGTCTACCAGGCCTTTCTGAACCATCTCTTTTTATCTTCATAGTAGGTTTGCCAGACAATCTTCTTTTAATTAGGGGAAAAGAAGGGACTTTGTCTGTATATGGCCACATGTTCATTCCATTCATCCCATGTATAGGCTCTTTGTAAGTATTATGGTGTAATGCTACAAAGTACATTATGTCCACATGTGCCTGATAATGTGTAGTATTTAAGAAGGATAATGATGCAACTGAGTGCACACAACCGTAGCCATTCAATTGCCACAACCTGCATGTACATTAGCTCTTCTGGACATCAACAACATAAGGACGATCTAGGTTTCCTATTTCAAACATCATAACTCCACAAGAAATAACTTGCTAATACCTAAATTTAGCAACAATTGTTAACTATAATTCTAAGTTGTGAAATATTTCAATAGTATATTTAGTGACATACCTTTGCGTTATTTTTAACAAATTCAACATGTCCCTGATATCAGGCCATATATTTAAACGATCCCATCCTTAACCCTTAACTTACATTTTTACCATCCTTTGCATGAAATAAATACGAATATCCTTTAACATACTGATAATAGGTTTCTTCCTAGCATCCATTACAACACTGTTGAAGCTTTCAGAGTATCCATTCTCCACAGGTTTACAAGCATGGTGAACTTTGAAGAAAAGCAAAGACCATGTCTTAGGATCCCTGTCCATAAGATGCACAAAGGCGGCATGATTTAGTTCTTGAATCTCCTTCATGGATGCATTGAAATGTTCTTCAGTAGTTGCTTTACTGGCCCTCGAGAAGATATTTTCAAATTGTGCTCCATGAAATTTCTTTCTGAAGTTAGCATATATATGCCTTGCACACTTTCTATGTTGTGCTTCTAGAAGTACCTCTTTCACTGCCTCAATCAATCCCTAAATAAGTATAAATGATATAAGAATTTCGAATGACATACCATATATTGTCCTTATATTGTAACAAATTTACAAAAAAATTCCATACCTTATGTTGATCAGATATTAGTACAACTCCAAATCCTCCATCTTGTAGGTTCATGTCTTGTGTTAGATTATCAATAAACCACTTCCAATTAACTTTGTTCTCTACACATACAACAACCCAAGCAATTGGGAAAATGCCATTGTTAGCATCCCTATCAATAACACAAAGTAACTCACCTTGGCAATAACTTTTCAGAAAACAACCATCAAGGTTAAATATCCTTCTACACCAACCCCGTTTCACTACCTGAAACAAATGTATATCCTACTGAAATAGTTTTTTCCATCAAGCATTGAATCAACAGATATTTTTACAGTTGCACCTAGATTTGATCTTTTTATCTCCTTACCATATGACCAGAACTTGGCATAGTTGTCTGCAAGTGTACCTTCAACTAGAGTAAAAGCAATTTTTTTTGGCTCTCATACATTAACTCATACTCACTTCAATCCCAAATGTGTTTTTGACCTCTTCTCTGAGCAGCCTAACACTCATCTTTTGATTGTTTACAAATTCTTGGGTGAAATGGCTTCCTATCTATCTGTAAGTGACAATTAACCTAAGTTTGAAATTCCTAGAACAATTATGATCAATTATCAGAGACATTATCAGGAAAGACTTATCATCACTCATCCATGACCCCTAAAGCCTAAATGTACAACTTCCATCACAACATTTAACTAAAATCCTTCTACTATCATCTTTCTTAAAACATAGTTGATAACCATTACCAACTGCATAATAACATAACATGTGTTTGAGTTGTTTAGGATTCTCAAACCACATACCTAACATAGTTTGCTGCTCCTACCAGGCTTGCTCTTCATTGAATATATTTGGTAAATCAATATCAACATCGGCCTCATCATCTTCATTTTCCCCCATGTCATCATTAACAGGTTCGCCTTCACTTACATTGTCACTCATCTCACACTCTACCTCATTATCTTTTTTGAAAAAAATGAGGGTTGCCATTGTCATCTGTATGCCCTGTCTCATCTGTTTCACCATCGTCATGGGAATCATCAATAACTTCTTTATAATTAGTATCAACAACATCCTCTCTTTCTTAATCCAAACACTCCTTCATGTTAATAGTACCAAAATGGTCTACAAACAGTGGGAGTACGACACGACATTCATACGCTATGGCTATAAAAGTGGAATAATCAAGTTCATTCCTAATTGGAAAATTGATATCAGGAAGACAGTAGTACATTTTCTCAAAATTTTCTCCTTTGATTCTTTCAATAAACGAGTAGCACTCGTTCTTGTAAATGCATGCGAAATCAATGTTCTCTAGTCTATGCGTAGTACCATATATGTATGGTATGGGGTACCTTTCAAATATTCCTTGAAAATGCACATGGACAATGATGTAGATAGCCATGGTTGAATCAAGATAGTCGATAGAAAGATTTGATGAAAATGGAAAGAGCGGGAGAACTGTTGTCGGTACATCATTAAAACCCTAGCTAAACACAGTAAGTCGTAACACATGGAAATTTTAAATGATGTGGAAACGATTTTACCGACTGACCCCTTCAATTCTTTCAAAGGACCAAATCGACCCGACATTAAATATTTTGTTCCCTTAAAAGGCAAGAAAAAACGTTTAGTGACTGAAAGGGTAAAGTCAAAATACATTATAGGGCCGTTGGGTCATTTTCCCTTTGAAAAATTAATCCGTTCAGGTTTCTGGAATCCATTGATTAAACTCTATCAATTTCCACCTTCGGAAAAAATACAAGGTGTCGGGATTTTTGGCACACAAAACTAGGTGTGTTTTGGGAATTTATGAGAAGGACGACATCATTCTAAGCATGTAAGAGACCTTCAAGATCACCCACTTCTTTCTTCTTTGGCCCATGCACCTTTACACCACCATCTCTCCTCACCTCTTCCCTTCCTTCTTGAGTATACTCCATATCTAAGTACATGTATGGCTAAATTGAGTGTCTCACTCAATTAGAAGGTAAGGCATGTACGATCCTTAGAGACTAGCTTGATCACTATAAAAAGAACCCTTTGAAATTCATTTTCTTCATAAAAAAAAACCGGCCAAGCCTCAAACACCTCCCATCTCTATTTTTTCCTCTTATTCTCTCGGTTTTAATCACCACCGAGTACCACCACTCCACCGCCGTAAACTACCAGTCTTTCACCATTTCCCCCATAATTTAATGGAAATAAAATACCACCCAAACCCACCCTCGTCCCTCCCTCCACCTCCAACATTACCCCAGCCCTCGTTCTCAGAAGCAGAAACGCAACCAGGAGGTAGCGTAGCCACCTACTGCCACCACTAGACCTCCCATTGTCGCCCATTGCTGTAGTTCGGCCATCACCACCTGTCACTGCTTTGCTACCAACGTGAGTATTCACCACCACCATCGTTATTATATATATATTTTTTTTATCTTTGATCGTGAATAGACCAAGGCGGATAGACCCATTTTTTTCTTTTTTTTATGCTTCTTTCATACAATCACGTAAACAGAAGGAGGAGGTGATAAAACCTCCTAAAACCTCCATGCCATAAAGATAACCCTTCCCCATTCAAAAATTGTTTATAAAATAATTCCAAGTCCCAAAATTCATTTCCATTTAATTATTTCAGGCCCTCCCATAGAATTTCTTGACAACATAAGTCCAAAACTCAAACTTCGATTCCCAATATTTTAGAACAGCCCCTCCTTTGAAATTAGATTACAAAATCGGTCCCATTCAATTTATTTAATTTATTAAATCAACCCTTATGGTTTAGTGAAATTACAAAACATCCCCACATTTGTTAACTAATACCAAAACCTTCCTTTGATTAAATAGGTAACAAAAATAGTCACGTTGGTTCCTTTTAAAAATGTCAAGTTGTGGTTTCTCGCTACGGACCCTATTTTATGTTTCTATATGATTTAGAGGAGAATACATGTGCTTACCTATGCTAGTTTATGCAAAAAAAACACATAAATATTATCATTTTTTGTTAAAACTATAACTAGTTTATAAACTGTTGGTTTGACATATATATGTTTTGAACACATAAACTAGTTTTAAGCCTCGATATTTACATATGTTATATTGTTAAACTAATAAAAATAACATATGTAATTTTACTACAAACCCTATGATTCTTTGTGACATTGTATATCATGAAAAGAATGTCGTAAAACTTTGTAGTATTTTAAGGATTCAAACTATTACCATCCATGAATATTTATAAAGTTTATACATGTACTTATGAACATTTCTTGATACATACTTCATTATAAATGTGAGTACCTTACACTATATATACATACCAGATATACTCCGCTTTTACAAACGTTGTACGATTCATTATGCCTAGTAACTTATCCACTTATAAGTTAGGGCTGAGAGCTATTCACATACCTTAGTTAAGGGTTTTTAGTGAGACTATATTTATTAGCTAAGTCTAAACACTTAGGATACCCACACTACTATAACCGTTGATATTTTGAGAGGGATACATATCTATAGATCTATACGGGGTTGACATCCTCACATGTGGTTGCTAGCAACAACCTCGACCAATCAATCGAAGCGGGTGATATGTATCTACTATCATTACTACAACGTACAAAGAAGCATTGATGGGGGTACATTCGATCACATAGCTCGATTATAGAACTCAATATAAACATTAACTAGAATCTCTCTCTCTCTCTCTCTCTCTCTCTCTCTCTTACTACAAACCATGGACTTGTTTTCTTTCAAAACCATTTTAAGTACGGATATAATTATGCAAATATACATTTTGGTTTTCAAAGTTTATTCAAAGACTCTTGACAAATAAAGTTTAAGTATGGTTATACTTACAAAGAAAATACTTTATAAACTTTTTAAAAGTATCATTAACATTGTTAGCAGCAAACCTATAACTCTTACCAAACTTGTATTGACCCTCAAAACTACATGTAATCTCAGGAAATTACTAATCAAGCATTCATACGATGGATAGTCATCGATTTTAGGCAATCTAGTTAACTTGTTTTTGTTATGTCCGGTTACATGTTTAAGGCAATTCATGTACTATACTATTATCTGTATAAACCATGTATTCAAACATCAAGATGGAATACAAATGTTGTTTTGTTTATTCTTGTACTTGTGATATATATATATATATATATATATATATATATATATTATATATATATAGTTTACTTGTGATCCAGGAACTAAGTCGCACAACCCGGCATGTTCTGCCGCCTCGGCCGGGGGTGTGACAGATTGTTGGGTTAAGAAGTATTGTGTTATTGGGGTTTTGGTCTAAGTCCATTGTTCACACGGTACTGGGCCTGTCCAGCCGTGTTTCATTTATTAGGGTTTACTTTATGTAGTGCATGCATGCACCATAGTATGTACACTTTTGACAGTTAATTCTCTTTCATCGTATTGTAACCCTAGCACACCTCTACAGTAGCAATTCTTCATAGAGTTCTTCTAAGGTTGTGGCTTATTAATCATTCGACATAAGTATTGATTCATCTGGTGTTCTTATTTACGTTGTGTTATTATGTTACTTGTTAAGGATCTCATCGATCTTAAATAGTTTTTTTCTCATCAATTGGTATCAGAGCAGGAGGCCGTGTAATTCATATGCATCTCTTCTGTTAGAAGAAAATATTTAGGGTTTCCGTTTTATCGAATATATTGGATCTGTCATCTCTTCTTTAACGTTGTTCCTCGATCTCGATATTACTCTAATACCGCTTTACAAGTCTGATTCTTGACAGGTAATCAAATCAAGTCATCATGTCACACGACGACTCTCAAACCAATCCCATCAACATCTCCAACAACATTGGATCTATCATAAGGATTCCGATTCTGTATACTCACGAGTATGAGGTCTGGGCTCTTCACTTTGAAGATTATGTTCTTGGCTCAGAAGACAATGGGTACTTCATCTGGGAGGCTATAACATTGGGTCCCTTCGTTCACTTTGGAACCAATAGAACCATAAAGACACAGAAAGAGTACAATCAGCTCAGGATCGATGTGAATGATATCCCTCAAGATAAGAAGGACAAATTGATTAGCAACATAAAAGCTATGAGGATGATTAGATTCTCTTTACAATCTGAGACTTTTCGTCTGGTGAGTTTGTGTACTACTGCAAAGGAGATATGGGACAAGCTTAAGGAATTATATTCCACCGATGAGGATCTCGAGCATTCCATTCAAACTCTTCTACTCTCGGAGTTTGGTGACTTCAAACAAAACCCAGATGAAAGTCTCATTCAAACATTCAATCGTTATAACCATCTTCTTAGTAAGATGATTAAGCATGGAATCGGAAGAGAGGTGATCGAGCAGAAGGTCACATTTATGAATGGCCTAAGACCATAATGGATGGCGGTGGTTTCAACTGTAAAACCTCATGAACAGTTTAAAACCTACTCGTTGGCAAAACTCGTGGGAATTCTCAAGTCACACGAAAGTGTTGTGACAAAGGAAATGAAGGTGGTCTCCGGAATGGGATCTTTGGCTCTTATCTCAAAGGGTAAGAATTCAGTTGAAGAAGAAGCGGATTCAGATCTTTCTGAGTGTGATTTGACTAATGAAGAATGCGCGTTGATGGTGTCTAACCCCAAGCGGTTTGCTAGAAAGAAGTTCCCTACCGCCAAGAACCGAAACTGGCAGGGAAGCTACAGTTCAGAGAAAGCGAAAGAGGAGATCAAAAACACTCCTTAGAAAGAAGAAGAGAAGAAGCAGAGCAAACTTGTGGGTGACTCAGGCTATGATTGTAATTATTGTCATCGCAAAAACCATCTAGCGAAGGAATGCATGCTAAGGAGACTGAATGAGAAGAAAGAGGGTGAAGACAATGAATCTTACTACATGCGTAAGCTTGAAGAAGCAAAGAAGAAGAAGTCTAGCGATAAATCCATGCATGTGTTACTTGTGCAGGAAAATATTGAAGAAAACGAGCTCGGTAGAGTAGAGGTAAGGTCTACTGATTAAAAAGATGAGGAAGTTCGCAAGCCCAC